CGCAGGGACACTGAAACTGTGTACTAAACCTATATGTCAGTGTGTGTGTGGAAGAGTACAACAGAAATAAGAAATCAGTCTTACCAGGATGAAGAGGCCCTGGTTGGCAAACTTCTGGTGGTCTGGGATGGTTGAGAACACAGATAACACCAAGCAGCTGAACACAAGGAGAAAACTAAAACACACAAACACAGAATTATCACACACATATCATGTGCACAAGTCTTTAAAAATATGCATGTTTTAGTCTCACTTCACAGACCAACAAAGAAGCTGCACACTGCAAATGAACAGGAAAATGATTTTTGATGCATAGCACAACTCACAGTACAGTACAGTCATTTTTATTCAGTGGAACAACATCTAAGTGTTTTGATAGACAAACCGCTAAATGAAAATCTCTGGACTTGAATTAAACAGGGAATACAAGCAAACCTTAATGTTTTTGGGGCAAGATATTTAAGTGGGCAGGAGTTGCACAGTGTATAATAGGGCTATACTGGCCTGCAGGTGACTTCAATCTGGCCCACTTCATTAAAGGAAAAAATATATTTGTGTGTGTGTGGGGGGGGGATTCTGGGTTTGGGTTCTGTTTATTGCATTTATGATTAGGGATGCACCATTCCACATTTTTTTTTTACTTCCGATCCGATCCCGATACCAAAGTCTGAATATCAGCAGATGATGGGGGCCGAGATGGTGTAGAGGCAGGGCAGCTGGCTTGGGACCCGAAAGTCCCAGGTTCGATCCCCAGTCACTGCACATCACGTGGCGTCTCTGGGCAGCACGCCTCATCCCCAAAATGTTCCCTGGGCGCTTTCAATAGTTGCCCACTGCACCACCTGGTGGTGGATGGGTTAAATGCAGAGACTAATTTCACCATTGTATGGAAACATACAGTGCTGACATTGTGATGACATTATTATTATACCGATCCAGTTCCGATATCATGATCATCATTGATTTTATATGAGGCTGTATTAACCTCCTCTCAAGTACAATTTGTACAAATCTATGCATGCATGTCCAAAAAAGCAACTTGAGGTAAGTTGTATTAATGTTGGATAAGTTTCAATGTTTGAATTAAATTCTAACGCAAAACATGTTTATTTTTATTCCTAGCTTTAAAGTGGATATTAAAGTGATTAATTTAAGTGATTGTTTAGTTATTTTATATTTTTTTTAAATAAGGGGCAGATATAAGAATTTTTTTTCTTCTTCCTGCACTCTTCATTCAATGTTTTCTTTTAGATTATTTTTTTTTATTATTTTGTTTCATTTAAATTAATGAAGAAATGAATTAAATTAAATTAAATTAAATGTTAAATGGCTTCAAACATCTGCTAAGTTCATGGCATAAACCAACAGACATGTTCCTGTTTTTAGTATTTTACATCACTTTATAATGTAGCTGTTTATGTTTTTAATATATCTAATTTTCAAATCACGTTTTTTATGATTGTTGCACTGATAAATATCTCCTGGAGGGTAAACTATATCTTGGCTGCAAGTATCAAGCTGTGAAATCCTTCGTTTTCTACAACTGATAGTGGTTGGTCATTAATGATGATGAAGTTTAGCAACTTCTCTGTAAACATTTGAGCTCTGTGGTTTCAGCGATGTCTTCTTCTTGTTCAATCCGAAGCAGGCAGCCTGATTTGGGGCAGTCGCGCTCAGTCTGTCCCTCCTCAGAGACGGGCAGACTGAGCGGGGCAGATTGGATGCGGCTGGCCGGGGTCGAGTCGTCTCTTTCGGTTTGACCAAAGAGTAGTGCCCTGCTGAAGCCACGGAGCTCGAATGTCCATCATAAAACTAACTTTACCGTGGTTTAATGTGGCGCTATGGCTCTGCAGACATTGCACATTGCTGTCTTGTTTTGTGGTGTTTCTAGTGTAAAATACTTCCACACAGCGGACATGTTTAGATGAAAAGTTGGTTAGCAGTTAGCTACAGTGCTGCTAACTCAGTCCTCACGTTCTAGCTGGCTGCAAACTATGAACTGGATTTACTGAATGTGAGGCGGGTCTTATTACTCTGGGCTCATGAGACACGCCGCCGTTCAGGAAATCCATTCCATAGTTTGAAGCCAACGTGCATCATGGATCGGAAATATCGGCAGGTGGATCGGAAAAATCCGATACGTAAATTATGCTGGTATCGGAGGCCGATACCGATACTGGATCGGATCAGCACCATCCCTATTTATGATACAATACAATAAAATAAACAAATTTAAAAGGTGACAGATCATTATAAACTTTGGTTTATTTACACAACAATTTTAGTTGCTGGATGTCCCGCCCCTGAGCTGTTGGCTTTTAGAAACAGTGGCCCCCTGAGCAGTTTAGTTGAATAGCCCCGGTGTATAAAAAGAGAGGTAGGTTGTTTTTTTTTTCTTCTTTGGCATGTCCAAGGCGGTACAGAGTGCACCACCAGGTGCAGTGGTGGAGCCAAGGGGTGGGCAATGGTGGCCTTAGCCACCATAGATAAAACTTGGGCTACTCTAATCCTTTGAGAAAAAAAAAAAAAAAAAAAAATATATATATATATATAT